TATATATATATATATATATATATATATATATACACACACACACAATAGAATGTTACTCAGTCATTAAAAAAAGAATGAAATCTTGCCAATTGTGACAACATGGATGGACCTAGAGGGTATTATGCTAAGTGAAATAAGTTAGACAGAATGACAAATACCATATGATTTTACTTTAATGTGAAATCTATACATGAAAACAAATGAACAAACAAAACAGAAACAGACTCATAGATACAGAGAACAAACAGGTGTTTGCCAGAGGGGAAGGAGTTGGGGGAAGGAGAGAGATAGGTGAGGGAAATTAAGAGGTACAAACTTCCAGTTATAAAATAAATGAGTCACAGGTATGAAATATACAGTGTGGGGAATATAGTCAATAATTACATAATATTTTTGTATGGTGACAGATGGTAACTAGACTTGTGATCATTTTGAAATGTATAGAAATATTGAATCACTGTGTTGTACCCTAGGAAAAAACTAACATGGTGTTATAGGCCAATTATACTTCAAAACAAACTCTTAGAAAAAGAGATCAGATTTGTGGTTACCAGAGGCAGCAGGTGGGGGGGAGGAGGAATTGGATGAAGGCAGTCAAAAGGTACAAACTTCCAGATAAGGTAAATAAGTCCTAGGGATGTAACGTACATGATAAATATAATTAACACTGCTATATATTATATATGAAGTTGTTAAGAGAGTAAATCCTACGAATTCTTATCACAAGAAAAAAATACTTTTTTTCTGTTTCTTTAATTTTGCATCTATATGAGAGGATGGATGTTCACTAAACTTACTGTGTAATCATTTCATGATGTATGTAAGTCAAATCATTAGGCTGTATACTTTAAACATACACAGGGCTATATGTCAATTATATCTAAATAAAACTGGAAGAAAATAAAGATATTCCACAGAGGATTGGCGCAGCACATTAAAGGTATGGCATTAAATCCACCACGAGGTAAGTAGGACACCTTCTGTTCCTCTGTGAGCGGCAGGCTTTCTTGGACTGCGATAGGTCACTGCAGTACTTGGACTATTCAGTTGGCCTAGCTAAGCAGAGGCCTTGGCTATTGCTCTTTCAGAAAACAGACCAGAAGTCTCATTTTCCTTCAGAGAGA